TCTATCTATCTATCTATCTATCTATCTATCTATCTATCTATCTATCTATCTATCTATCTATCTAGACCTTTCCAACTAACAACTTTGATTGTAAGAAGTTTTCTTGAGTTTTACCTCACTTCATCAGAAGTAGAAATTAACTAGACTGATGATAAGATTTATGTGAGACAGAATACAGGTACCTTGTATAATTACAAATGTTGAGACTGAGATTGCCTGAAATTTTATCTTTTGATGGTTCTGCTTTTAAAGTTCCACTTTTTTATAATAAGCATTTAGAGTTTTGCTATGGAGTCTTCCTCTACCATGTGAGTTCCTCTGTGGCCAGGACAGGCAGTATTTCCTTACAAGTTCTGATCAAAACTGGATTTCATTCCTTCGGTCACTTTAATATGTATATTGTCTCCAAATCCCAGTTTTCCGGAGAGCGCTTAACAAACTTTAAAGCCTTTATCTTATCTCACCAGCAAATGGATATAAGAAAACAAAAGAAAAGTGAAAAATGGCCCATCTTTGTGATAGTCATAGAATAACAAATTATCAGTTTCTTAACGATTTCATGGAACTGATACCAGTAACAGTGTGTAGATAGGCATTGGTATTGGCACATTTCTGTGCTTGTGTGTGTTTCTATTCATATCTATTGGCGTCTCTTTGCAAGCTTACCCATGTTCTGGTTCACTGGCTCAAAAAGTCCATATGTAGCTTTTCAGTCTCAGTATCATTTACTGAGAGGTACTGCAGATTGTGTTCTCAGTAAAATCCAAGGAAAGCAGCTGTGCCTGCCTGGAATAGCAACTGACTACCTGCTGTGTGCAAATACACAGCCCCCATGCCCATTCCTGCTAATCCACATGTTAGCATAGCATCTTGGCAGAAGATAACAGCAAAATAGGGATGGAAATATGGAATCAAAGGGAATAAAGGGAGTCCATGGTGACCTGCATGTTGCAGTCTGCTTTTGAAGGTATCCTACAACTCTTCTGGGATGCCCAGTCCCTGCTGTAGGGAGTTCCATAGATGTCTAATCATCTTTTGTCCCTACACTTCTGAAATGTGGAGAAAGCAGCAGTAAGAATTAAGATACCCAGTCCCTTTTGATCAGGACTATCAAAGAGCAGTAGAATTGGCTGTTCATTACTATAAGCACAGGATGCACAATTGAAGCAATAATCAAGTGTAGGTTGTAGATTGATGTGTTTTCATACACAGTTGTTCATCCATAAACTCTTGTCAATTTATGTACTTTTACTGAAAATTCCACCAGGTTTGCCACACAGATGAATTCCCAGTGCACTTCCATCCTTTCCATATTGCAGTATAGGAAAGAGAAGTTTTGACATGGCAAAGACAAACATTGTGAGATAATGGATCTAGTATCATAGCATTGCTTCTGTGGGCTGTCCTGCATGCCAGTAGGACAGTAATATTAAATTACTATTAATTCATTCCTACTATTCAATACTATTATTGAATTAAAATGAAATCTTCACCTATGGTTCAGCTTCTTTTTCCTGAGGTGGAATTCTTGGTGCTCTCTGAGCTTTGTTATTTGCTTGCAGACATTTCATTATCTGACAAGGTAATATTATAAGTGCTAGTGACTATGTGGTTTTTCTTTGGTAGTTCCTAACCGGTTGGGATGGAAACCTGTATATTTTGTAGCAGGGTATCACATCTTGCTAAGCTGAGTTCTGCATGGCAGATTTTCAATATGGAATATCTAGCAGTAGCAAATATGTGAGTCACTGTGAATGCCATATAGTTTCCAAATTTTGTACTATTCTCATAAAACCATTCCCATACACATATCCTGGCAACCTACAGGTGGGGAGATTGATGCAGGTGATGAAAGGTTACTAAAAAGAAATAACAGGTCAAATATAAAGTCCAACTTTCCCTCAATGCCCACGGCACAACCTGGGTACCCACAATTGCAAGGATCCTAGCTTTCCCTCGTTTTGTCATAGAGTGAAAGGAATATTTTTGCATACTGTTGAGTCTGACTTGCACAGGTAGGATCCAAGCCTCATAATACATGTAGCACACTGTAAGTGAGAGAAGGTGGGAGAAAAGAAAGGAGATGGTAGAGTCTTTTTCATGTTAATTTTACAGGTGTTTCCTGTTTAACCAGAAAGCTTTGCATTCCTCTGCAGGAATAGTCTGTACAAAAGGCATGACCATCCCCCATTTCCACATATCTTAGTAACAGTATGCTGCTAATTGACCAGTTGTGTCCCATTGTATGTACACTTTTCCTCTATATACTTCATATACACCTGGTGGGTGGCAGATAGCACTTTAATTCCAGCTTTTATGATGTCTTCCAATAAATTGCAGAACAGAATAGTCAAAAATTGAAAGTCATTTCCCCCACAGACCCATGCAGAATTGGGGCCAGGATAATTTCTTCCATAGCAATGTTGGAGACAATGGAGTAAAGGAACTGAGAGTTAACACTGACTAATCACATTATTGTTGCAGCAACTCCCATCTAACAAACAATGAATCTGGATGCTAAGGCTAAACCAAGGCAGTCTGACAAATCATAAATCGAAAAGAATAAGAGGATCATTCTTCACCATGTAGCAACCATAAGGCATAAACCACATGCAGCCTTCTGTATTCTGTTCTGTGACATATTGACACATGGGTTGCACGTGCTCACCCCTCCATGAGCAGTTAATTACACAATGGTCCACCTTTCAACAGAAAAAAATGTAGATGTGGATGGTAAATCTACATTATTCCAAAGAAGGTACAATGAAATCCAATAAAGCAGCCATCCATGACCCACTTAAATGCTCATGACTATTGTTAGGGATACACCCTAGCAGAATCTGCACGGCAGTCAGTCAGGCAGGCAAAATATGTGAGATAAACGTTTTTGTAGCTTACACTCAGTAAAACAGATACACTGTGCTAGTTAAATAGTTTATTCTAGTAAGAGTTATAGCATAGTCAAACAGTCCACATATCATTCACTAGTTCAGTCCGTCCGGGGATTATACAGTTGCAAAGTCCAGTGTCGAAAAAGAGGTCAGTAAACTTACAAATATCAGTCCAGTAATATATCTCCTCGCAGTAGAGATATGAAGAAGTCAAACCTCCTTTCTTCCTTCGACATCAATAACGCAGCAGCAGGGAACACGCAGTTAGCAAATCATCAATCCAGTATAGTCAGCAATCGTCAGCAATCCAGCAGGTTCTCTTGCTCCCTCTTATGGCGGTTTCCTGACCGCACCCAAAATTACATGCTTTGCAGTTTAAAGTAACACACACTTAAACTTACTATCATAGTTTATATATATTATTTTACACAAACTACGTTAGGTAACCTTGTTATTCCTAACAACTATATTGTAGATAGCTAAATGACCATGGTCAAGCTTTTAATGGACATGGGTGATTTGCTTGCAATAGCATTACATTTTCATGGGTGGATGACAGTATGATGAAAATGTTGGGAAAAAGTGAATTGAAGCACATGTGGCAATTTCTGAACACATATGAAGCAGTCTGTAACATTACATGGTAACCCTCAGTTGGTTGTCTGATTGCCATATGCTGCCCCTGGATGGATAGCAATAATATTATGTGGGTGTGGGTGAATGTGTACAGGTAAAAAGATTCTGAGTATTCTATGGCTACACACACACACACACACACACACACACACACACACACACAGAGAGAGAGAGAGAGAGAGAGAGAGTATTTTCTTTCCTTTAAAAATAAACTACTTCGTTCCCACATGATGGAAAACCAGAAAACTATAAGCATTTTTCCAAAAGCAGCAATTCACAAAATGCTCCAATTGAAAATGGTTTGGTGGTAGTTTTATGAGCTTTGGCATTATATTGCATAAGGTGTCTTTTTAAAAATCACATGAGAAGAAACGGTTAAATCTGCATCAATTCTTACAGATTTGTCATTTCTTTTTTTCCTGAAATTATTTTTTCATCTCTGATCAACTCTGCCTGTAAAGATTTACTATTATAACGCACTTTAGGAAAACATTATACCTGCTGCGACTAGAACGAAAGTTTGTTTTTTGCTCTTTGTATGTCCCATCTTTTATGCTAAGGTTATAACAATGCAATGCAAAAATGCAATGCAAAATTAAATTAGACGATGATGTATATTCCACGATGAATTTCAAATTGTCAGATACATTGACAGCAAAGAAAAAAAGCAAAAATGTATATTATTTCCTCATCCTTCCTTGGGCGCAATTGCTATTCTCAGCTTTCGCGAAGCAAAACGTACCGCAGCATTCCCATCGCGCAATACCCCAATCTAACCCAGCGGACTGACACAGTGCGCTTCTATCAACCTGCACAAAAGAAGCAAGCCGGCAGTTTCTTTTTTGGTGAGAATCCACTTTCAGTCTCGATGCAAACTTTGCTCCAATCCGAAGAGGGCAAGGCGGAGTTTCCAAAGTGGGGACGCGCTGCCTGGTGCTCTAGCAACTGATCGAGCGTGGGGGCTCCGTATTACGTATATGATAATAAGGGCGGCAGAGGCGTATTGCGCTTCTCTGCCTCCTTAATGCGGCCGCCGCCGCCGCCGCGGCTCAGAACTTCTTATATAAGTGTTAAAGTGGCCGCCTGCTGAAGATGAACGCATCTTGGCTTCGCAGTCCCATCAAAGCGCCGTTGTCGAGATCACTGGGGAAAAGGTAGCCGTGACCGGAGCGTAGAGCTGCAGCGACCAGCAAGGGCAGGTCCTGCGAGTCAGCATGAGTTGCTCGGATGTGGTGAGGCACCAGGCACAGGCGACGTGTCACCCGTCCCAGGTGAAATTGCCCGCAGCATCCTCCGTGTCTTCCACGAGTCCTTGTCCGTTCTCCACACCGGCGTTCGCGTCGAGCCAACAGGTGAGAGTCTTAACGAGTCAACAGGAAAGCTGTTCTTCTAGTAGTGGGCGGAGAAATGAGAATGACGAAGTCTGCTAGTCCCGTTCTTGGGAGAGGTGGGGTGGATGAACCCAGCAGTGAGAAAAATTTGGTGAAGTGTCGGCTCAAAAATAAAGACTGGACGTTTATCTCTAGAAGGGGCTGGGTTTCTTTGTAGTTTAACCAATGCTGTGTATCACTTAGGAGCTTGATTCATGAGGCTCATTAGGTGAACATACCTGGTTGAACAGAGTGACTGGTTGCTCTGTGTTGAGACCTGTCTTCAGCCACACTCCATATACACAAATATTCTTCCGGTGTTCTCTAATTTAGAAGCAATACTCATCTCTTCAACAAGCAGACTACATATAAAAAGAGCATATGAATCCAGTCAGATGCAGTGCTTGACTCGGTCACTTACTCACAGTTGTATTCATGAACACATGCTTTGACTTACTACTAACACCTTATACATAGCCCTTTCAAACCTTAGTCTGAACATGATCCAAAATGCCCCTACATGGTGAATGGCAGTTTATTTTTTGCCACCCTATGAGTATTTGGGCAGGCTCTGAGCAGTGTAGGTGTAGGTAGGGTGGCTTCAGCCACTGTCATTTGACAAAGTGTCTGCTCAAACGAGGAGCACTGGACCTTTGTCGCTGGAGGGCTTGGATGATTTGGATATCTAGATGCTGAAACTGAAGAAGAGAGGCTATCAGATGAGCAGACTTAACAAGGAACCTGTAAGAGGGCTGCCTAAGAGGGCAGAAGAAAAGGTGCTGCTATGTTCCGTAACATAGAACTAATATACTGCAAACTGGTAGCACTTCATGTTTAAAGTTATTTCCCACCTGATCAAAATGGAAGTATCAGTATCAGAGGATTGTGGGAGATATATCCAGCTTGCTGTTTTTTCTTCTTTTTTTACCATTTCTGTGCCCAAGGCTGGAGGGTTTCTTGAGTTATCCTCTTCTTGGAATATGAAAACCTTTGTGAAAACAATATTGAGAGCCACTTTGTCCCTTTTCTGAGTCACCTGATATCTGTTCAAAGTTCTGCTATTATCTTAGAAGTAGGAATGTACGGACTTGGAAGAGTAAGCCTGCTTGCATAAATTGCTAAAAAGAAGGGATGTTGGTGCTGTGAATTCATGAATTCACCATTAATTCTGAATAAAAGCTGAAGGTTGTCCTTAAGGAAGACTATTTTTCTGCATTTATGCCCCAGGTTTGAATATACAGCAAGTCCAGAAACAATTCACATTAAATTCAGTATGGTCTTTTATTTACGGGTACATGTCTTCAGAATAAATGACTAAAATTTTCTTTTAAAGGGTAATGTAATATTGTTTTGTCTAAATTAAAAGTAGGTTCCAAGAAACATTTGAGGTTTGTTATAGTGTACATTTGATCATTATGATGATTGTAGACTCTAAAGCACAATAAGTTATTTTTAAATAGAAAGCCTAGTCAGTTTTGAGTTTTAGTCTTTTATATATGTCACCAGAAATAAAATGTCCCATAGTTTCAAATAGAAAGTTGGTTTGTAACAGCAAACATTTTAAAAACTATAGGATGTATTACTGCAAAGACTTTAATCCTTTGCATAAGAGTATTTGATTAACTGAGTTGTAATGCATGGAAATATATAGTATCTCAGTAAATGAACACATTTCTGCTAAAAGTGCCATTATATTATGTTGCTTATATTGTTTCTACTGCTTGCTGTTTGTTTTTAATTAAGTCAATTGATTGTTCAGGTCAGTATTATAACAGCCATGATACAACAAAATTAAGACTTATATGAATCAAATGTCTGCATATACAGTATATTTACCATGGCAGCAGTTTCAGTAGATATGTTTTATTAAATACAATTTCACTGACTTCTTTGCTAAATATGTGCAGAGTTATTCGCCAAAATTTAAATAAATGATAGAAAGCCGAACTTTGTTAAATATTTGATTATAGTATTGATTTCAAAGAAAAGTGAAAAATATATAAAAACTATATTTAAAATTTTATTTTTGAAATTTAGCTTTTACTCTTTGACTTATGAATCTGATGTAACAAAATAAATCAGTACATTCTTATCAGGATGACAGCACTTTTCGACTATGCTGTGCGTGGGTGAAGTGGGACTAATATTGACTTGGCCTCAATATAGTCATCTGAGAATTCACTTTTTTTTTTTTTTGCTTTTACTGCATTCCATGAGGTTTTATCATTATTATGCACACGCACACAAAAATGTTTTCTCCATACATGGGAAGTGACCCTTAATACTATCTTGGTTGGAATTCACAAATATGGTCTAAACTTCAATAATTTCTGTTTTATTTTTTCTTTCTTTCTGCTACTGTGAGCAGATTTATCAAAACCAGGCTAATTATTTCAAGCCCACTCTACAGTGTCAGAGCAGTATAAATCTGGAGTTCTCTCCCCTTCAGTTGAATTGTAATTGATTTTTGGATGTAGGTATTCAAGTTTATTTATTGATTTATAATTTAATGTTGTATGACATTAATTTCTACTTTGAACAAACTTTTCTATCAAGAAGCAGATGTTTTTCATATCTAGAAATCTAAACTGCTTTGAAACATTATGATTTATTTTACTGAAATTTTGATTTTGATTTTTATAATAGAATATTGGGGTATCATGTCATAACAGACAATTTTTTTGTAAAAAAAGGGAATATTTTGAAAATTATTGGGTTAAATTTGGCTGATTTTTTCCTAGCATAATTGTCTATTTTATTGGAAAATAATTAAAACTTACTTCCAAGTAATTATGCATAAGATTGAGATTATAATTCTTTTGTTTTCCACATTATTTATTCAGCTTAAATCTGCCTTTTTATGCCATGCACAAAAATACTGCAAAGAATTTGCTTTTGTTAAATATGAAACATCTTAAAGCTGAGTAACACTGAAATAATAAATTATTGGCATTCTTCTTTTCTTCATCAAAATATATGGCCTCTATTTTTCATTTCTGAATACTTACTCCTTTTCACTGAGGGAAGGGATTACTTTTCTCCTCTTTCTCCATCATCTACTGGTCATGACTGCTCACCCAAAGAGTGAAAGAGACATAATAAAAATGTATTTGTTTAGGAGTGAGATAGTATTTTTCACCATTATGAAACATTCAGAAAGACTTGTTTTAATTTTTTTTCTATCACAATCAAATAACCAGATGGGAAATATCAGTGAGATCCTAACAGGCCATGATAGTAACTAATTAGCAAATTTCGTACTATGGAGAATGGGTCATGAATGACAGTTGTAACAAATATATAATGTATATTCATTTTCATAGGTTGACAATCATTAGCTTTTATGATATGTAATTATATATTATTCTATTATTTATCCATTTTTTCTCTCTTAGAATAAAATAGTTGTATACAGTAAGATGCAAGAAACTCTGGAAGTAACACTTTCTAATAAGCAAGAGGAAGAGGAGAAAGATCAGCCTACTGAAATGGAATACCTTAATTCTCGCTGCGTCCTTTTCACCTACTTTCAGGGAGATATTGGCTCAGTGGTGGATGAACACTTTTCAAGAGCTTTAAATCAAGCCAATAACTTCAATTCAGAGGCTGTTCTTTCAAAAACCAAAACAGATTTATGGAGAGGTAAGTTTTAAAAGGAAAACTGAATTGTACATTGTTTTCTTCACATACTGTGATTTCTTTCATCTTACTATATTATTGTTATTTAAAGAACAAAAGCAATACAACACAACACAAAACCATACATCTATCTGCAACCAACATATAAGAGATGCAGCTAGAAAAATTGGGCTAGCTAGCAAAAATATTGCCCTGGCTGGATAGAATCTAAACAGCAGAATGTAAAAACAGCTGGGAATGTTTTTTTTTTTGTTTTTTTTTAAACAGCTGGGAATGTTTTAATTATCATTATTAATCAAATCATCTTTTAATGACCCCATAATCCTTGCAAGGTGGAGTTTGGGCAACAGAATGCAGCTGAGTGGTTACTGGCCGGATGCCCTTCCTGTCACCAATGTGGAGTTATATTCAGCAGATATATTCTCATCGTGTCCAAAGAGAAAAATATCTGCTTCTACCCAAGATCGAACTCACAGCCTCCTGAGTGTGAGGTTAGAGCTCTACCTCTAGGCCATTGTACCACTCATCATTATTAAGTTTTAATGTATAGATAAATAACAAGTAAGAGTAATTAAAAATTCAAAACACACAAGAAAGCAATTGAAATGCATATCATATATAGAGAAAATCATTTGCCCAATTTTAAACATATCAGTGTGTGGTCATGTGGAATAACATTGGTCATTATATCAATTAAGTTTAAGTTAACAGACATACAGTGTTGATTCAAAATTGTCATTCTGAACCTCTCTGTTTTTAGGACACTGAAGAGTAGTATCATTTGTAGCACCTCAAACTTTGCAAATAGTTGGAATAATTCTTCCAATAATGATACATTCAAAACATGGGATATGTAATTCAAAATATTCAACTCTGCAAACCCATTTAAACCATCTAAACAAATGTATGGATATGAAATTAACACAGTGACATAAGCCTATATCATAGGAGTTAACATCTTTGCACCCATTTTATACTTCCACTATTACGGGATTGGCAACAAATACTTTTAAAAAGTGAAAACTTTATCTGATTTTTCAATATTCATAAAAGGTAACGTTTTACTCAATAATTTTATCTGCAGAAAAACAAACTTTTTTTAAATCTTCAGAGCTCTTAATTTATTAGTGTGTGACCTTCCCATTCTTTATTGTAGAGTTCTTATAAATAATTAATATGTATCTAAAGTTTTACTCTTTAGTTTTTTTATAAAAATATTTTGGAGATTTAAATTTTTTTCCAGACCCAAACCAACATTGAAAATAATTCAGGATTAAGAATTACCTACTGATTTATCTTGATAGAAGAACAAATAAAAAATATTCAATATTCTTCTGTTTTGCAATGGCAGAAAAAAAAGTTATGAAGTGTTTTCCACTTTTAGAAATTTGGACACTAGTATGCCACTAAGTAATTTTCTCAGGTCTTATTAAAGGTAATCACAGTAATAGCACAAATCCAACAATTTGGGTTGATTATGCTTTTTTGTAGCCATGAAAGCCAGCTGGTTGACTTTGAGACGGCATTCTTTCTTAGGCCAACCAGGAGTGGGTTTCTACCGGTTCTGTCCACCTCTATAGAACTGGTAGCTCTGAAGAGCATCAGACATAAAACCAGTTCTATGTCTGCTGTTTTTGCCCACCCACCCACCCGGGCTCTTACCTGACCTTTATTTCCTGATTTTTCAATTTCAGCTGCTGTGCAAGGCACAGCTGCAGTTAAAAAAGCAGGAAAAGAGGACTGTTTCAAAGGCTGCTTCTCTGCGCGCAGCGTGCAGGGAAGCACATCATAAATCACCAAATCTCTGAACCGGTAGTTAACCCTGTCGTATCCCATCCCTGAGCCCAACCCTCTTTACAGATTGTTGTGGAAAAATAGATAGGGGACAGGTGTCTTAGGCATGTTTGCTGCTTTGAGTTTTATATATGAAAAGATAGTATAACATTATTAGGTTGGTTGCATAATCAGTCAGATGTTTAGACATCTGGATTTGGCATTTCCAAGGACTCTGGATTGGCAGATGTTGTGGTCTGATAGTATTAAAGGTATTGTCACAGGATGTAAGCTTTTCAAAGTAAAGCTTACATCCTTAGCAATTGATTGATGATGATTTTGCCATTGCCAAGTATTTTCAAACTGTGATCCTATTGCTTTGGGATTGCTTCTGAGATACCTATTACTATCTTTGTTTTCCTTTGCCACAGTTGTTTTACTTCTATGTAAAGAACTTTGTATTTTGTGATTTTTCTCTAGTTCTTTCTTTTATATTCTGCTTATCATTATTTTATATTAGATAGTTCCAATAATATTACTACGCATGTGTCTCTAGACACTAGTAAATTTAAAACCATATAACATATTTTCTTCTAATTATTTTCACTAGTTTAACAGCACATTAAGACCATACAAAGTTCAATGAAGAAATACAACTAAGAAGCAATTTAAGTTTACTTTGGATGGCCAGATCTAAAGAGATAGTAGCATCTTGAATTCATAGATTCATATCATATTCAAGAATTCATATCTTGAATTCATAGAGTATTGTAACTTAATTACCTGAACAAATGATTTATGTGGATTTTCAGAATTTGTGAAAGTATTGTAACTAATTTTATTATTTCTCAGTATATTAATCATTAACATAATGCTACAACAAACAAAAATAAGAACAAACTAAATTAACATATTAAATTGACAGAAATCACATAGTTCCTCTGGGTCGCAAACAGAGGATTAAAACCTCTGTTTCAGAACAATAGATATAATAGAATCCTAAATTAATAATACCTAAAAATCTAACAGGAATCCATACAGACCAGCAACAAAACCACCATCAGGTAAATTTAACCCCCAGGCTTATTGCTGGGGTGCATGTTCAACACACTACTCCATGATTTTCAGTCCAAGGGTGCTTTCTGCTGTAATTCAATCTGTTTGTCACCTCTAAGGTCATAGTTGACTTAGAACAGCATTTTTCAACCCAGCATGTTTGGAGTTTGATGCTAGCTGGGCAATCTGGAAGATGAAGTTAACATATCTTAAAGTTGCTGTGGTTAGGAACACTGGTATAGACTAAGGATAACTGCAGGACAATCTGACTATGATTATGTTTTGCTGAGTACTGGCAAGGCTGACATGACATGGGTCCTTTCCATTAGGATATATCTAAATAGCAATTGTGCCTTCTCTGTTGAATAACATCCCTATAGAGATCTTTTATAAGGCATCTTGAGACCTCCATTCTTATAAGAAATATAAAAATATTTGTCTCCATAATTTTCAATATTTTTTCATGGTGTTATACAGTTTTTAAAAACTGCCTCCTTGATTCAGAAATCACTAGTTCATCAGATTTTCAATTATTTCACATTCTGTTTTAATAATATGAATTTAATTTTAGATTTAATTTAAAAGGTATAATAGATATAAAGCACTGGTCACTATAAAATGTGCTATGATTATTATATTTATTGGTATACTTTCATGAACATTTAAAAATGTTTATGAACATCCTTAGTTTCTCTACATAATAGCAGTGGTGTTTCTGAGTTCATTTTGAGAGTTTATATCATTTTTGCTTTTTCTCTTAAAAGAAAACACAACAATTGCAAACCAAAGGAGGAGCTTCCCAGCTTCATTTTGGACCAGTTCTTATCAAACTCCACCTCCACCATCTTTAAGTGGGATTCATCGTGATTTTCCCATTACTATACCAAGCACCTTTTCAGTAGCAGATCCTAACAGCTGGCCAGGGCATACGTTGCATCAGACTGCTCCACCTCCTTCATCTAACATGCCAGAGTCTTGGCATTATCCTTTAGCATCTCAGGTGAGCTCTTCATATGGACATATGCATGATATGTACATGCATCACCATCATCCCCATGTACACATGCATCATCATCATCATCCGACTTCACATCTTGACCCACGGTACAGACCTTTGCCAGTGCCCTCAGTTTGTTCAGGCAAGATTCCTCCACCACAGTGTGATGCAATGAAGTCAGATCCTACTACTGTCAGCTGTGCTACCTCGGCTTGGGCAGGAGCCTTCCATGGGACAGTTGATATTGTGCCAACGTTTGGATTTGAAACAGGTAAGCTGGAATTAGCCTGTGGGTATCTATACATATTTCAGAAAAGTATGACTTATAGCTCTTAAAATATTGTATTTATATTCTTCCTTATTTTCCAGAGTTCAATATGGTATACTTAGTTTTTCCTATTTTATCTTCATAAAACTCTAAGACAGGTTAGAAATATTAATTGGTTTAAGGTCACCATGAGCCTTTATGGTTGACTTTCATAGTCCAAGTTTAACTTTTTTCTTTATTAGAATAAGCAATTGTAATAAATTTTGTTCTTAATCTTGTTCAAGAATAGGATGGTTTAAATTCACATACTGTAGACCTGAATGATTTTTTTTAATTCAATGATATGTCAACCTTTTTCCTAATAAATCAACACACACTATAAATTTTACTCAATTTTTTAAAATATAATTATGTATTTATATTTGTAAGTAGGAGGGTTTTTTTTTGCTAAAACTGAATTGCTTTTTCTGACTTTTGGTTTTAAGTTTGGAAACTTCATAATCTTTAGTCATTAATTCAGTTGAAAACTGATTTCAGACTTGATATTGCCATAATTTTCCAGAATGTTAAGTTACAATTTCAGCTACAATTAATTGCCTTGTAATTATACAAACCAAATTCCATTGCGACAACTCAATATTTGGAGTACATATTACATTAATATCAGAGGTGGTATTCAGCAGGTTCTGACCAGTTCTGGAGAACTGGTAGCGGAAATTTTGAGTAGTTCAGAGAACTGGCAAATACCACCTCTGACTGGAGATTTTACAGTATCCTTCCCTGCCATGCCCACCAAGCCAAGCCCACAGAACCAGTAGTTTAAAAAAAAAATGAATCCCACCACTGATTAATATGTTTTCTGCATTTGTGAAAATGTCAAATTGTTACACTAAACTACAAGCTTAGTTCTTGCAATAAAAACAGATAACATTATTGTTAGGCTTATTTTGAATCAGTCACTTAAAACAACTTCTTAAATTTACAACTTATAAGAATGCTGATTTCAGATATTGTCATTCAGCAGATTTGACTGCATTATTGATATTGAAATATAAAATTTGAGGCAAACTCCTGTTTGAAGTGTCGATCTGCAAACTCATTCAAAGCTTTTCAAAATGTCCTGTGACATTAATCCTGCAAATATTTTTTCAATGCATTTTAACATGATTATTAAATCAATCATCAACATTTGTAAACTATTGTTCATGCTTTATGTTATGAACAAATAAATAATTATCACTTGTCAGACAAGCCATGAATTAAAACATGCATGGTGTTATGTCATCTATATACCAAGCCTGTGTTGTTAGAAAGTTGGAATAACTCTAATGAGTTGGCTTGTCTAGTTATTGGCATTTTGTTACACAGAAACTGAAATTTTCAGAACTCTACTGCATTTGCCCAATTTGTTATTAACTATTAATATAAATATGATATGATATGATTTGATATTAAACTATTCCTGTGCTGTGTTATATAGCAGATGATACAGGATAGTTCATTGGCCTTATTGTGGAACTTATACATTCTGCTTGTGACTGGCATAACTAATTTCTGAAAAAATATGAATTATCACTTACTGAATTGTGAAAAATTTAGCATAGGCATGTATTTCCTTTCCCTTCCCTTCCTTCCTCTCCCATCTTGTTACCTACATATTACTGGATAATAGATCACGAAGTTTCGGTCTATAGAAACTATGGCATGTTTAAAGAAGGTAATGTATGTTTGGTTTTGCGCTCAAAATGAAACAGCTATCTTCATTTGAGATGACTCCATTAAAGAAATGAGAGAAAACCTGTATATTCAATACAGGTTTATAAAGTCCTTACCAAATAGCAGCATTTAGGAAAAACATAATGATGACTGTTTTGATGAATATGTGTCATAGTTCATTTTTTTGTGTATAAATCCATAGGTTTATTTGGCACTATTGTAAGCAAATCTTTTTATGCATTAAACATCATTGGACATAGGCTCATTTACTTCAAGATTTCTATGTGTTGTGTCAGGAAAACGTTAGATACATTCTGTCTCTTTAAATTGTTTTCCTTTTTTAAATGTTTGAAATAGAACACAGGATCAAGCAAAATAATTATCTGAGGGAAGGGAAAAGACAAGTAATAATTTGGATGTATTTTAACTGCATCTGACTTTCTCTCTCTCTTTTTTTCTGTACTAATAGCTACAAACTAGCAGGGTTTATTTTCACATTTGCATTTATATAATGGCACAGTCAGTTGCTTGATACTTGCAGCCTCAAGAAATTAATAAAAAACAGCACACAATTATATATTTAAAAAGCCTGGATAATTTTATGGCCATTAATAATGTTTCTAGCTATAGTGATGAAACAATAATAATTATGTTTCATATTTTGAGCTGTTATAATGTCATCATCTGCCAAGACAAGCAGATTATTCTTTATAGAACCTACTTTTTGCAAGGTATAGTATATTTTTAGTAGATTTGATTTTTCAATGAAATTTGTTTTGATTAACACATAGAAGGAAAAATGCCTCAAATATTATACCATCTATTTTTATTTTTATTTTCCTTTGTCCAGACTATCACTCAGCCCACAAAAAAAATATTTCTTTTTTTTTAAAGCCCTAATTTTAAAGGAAAAGTTAAAAACAAAACAGAAAATGCAAACTTGTTATTTCATGGAGAAAAGAAAATTGGAAGGGCAGAAGGTCATCACATTAGCTAGGTGTACTCTCACATATAATAACTTTAATATAGCCATAATGTATACTTTAAAAAAAATGAAACACTAATAATGCAGTGTAGAGAGTTATGTTTTTGTGTGTTCCCCCAGCTATCAAGGTGGTTAAAGAATCAATTAAGTAGAATCAATTAAGTAGAAAGAACAGGCTCCTTTTCCATTCCAAGAGAGTAGCATTACTGAGATTGATAATGTCAAGTTCATGATTTCAGACCCAAACTTGTGACTTCTTAGTCTAAGAACAGAATTAATTAAAGCGTTAGAGCTAAATGCAGTTTCTTATGCTACCCTGTTTCTCCAACAATATGGCCTCCCACAATAGGAAGTCCCAGCATGTTTTATAGGCATGAAATGAAATTAGCCCCTCCCCCAAATTAAGGTCTACATTAAAACATGCGAAATGGTGGGAATGGTGGGGGGGGCTTGCCATTAGGAAGTACTTTTGTTGCACGCCCAGATATGGTGCTGCCTGTGTTGACCCCGTTACGAAGTGCCCCACCAACGCCAAGGTCAACATCCAAGCCGTCGCCGCCCACCCGAAGATGCAAGGAGGGGGGAATTAAGTCACCCCCGAAAAGATGGCCTAGCCATTTTTTCGGGGCTCAAAAAAAAATAACACCCAGCCTTATTATATGAGAAACCCGGTAGTATGCATGTAACTTATTTTGCATGGTGTGCCAAATCTTGTTTTAGTTTAGTTTACGTTATTGTTATTGCACCTCGTGCAACAAAAATAAATGCCATCTTCAGTGTGCATTATAACAATAAAAATAAATCACAAACACACATCCTTCACATTCTGTACAATTGAGTAGAAAACTGATATTGCATTCATATTGCATTATACAGTAGATTAGAACTTGGGTTATGGCACCTTTGTTATAGCAGCAGAACCTGGATAATGGCACAAAAAAGCTAAATGTATATAGCAAAGTATATGATAAATATGACTTTTAAAAAAGGATAAGTTGAGATCTTGCCTATAGGAAAATTAAAATATTCTAAAAGTTTTTTTTAAAGGAAAGATGTTATGAGACTTTAGTGGGCAGATACAGTATAGAGAGGTATAAGAGAAAGGCTGTTTGGGTTAGAAAATTGGAAGGATTAGAATACCTAGATCTGAGTGCATGGTTTCTCAAAAAACATCTTGCTTTAAGAATTCCTTAATTCCTGTACTGCTTTACATTCCTACCATTAACCTGGCATTTAATAAATTTGATTCTCACATGTATATAACATTAATAGTGTGTCTTTATTCTTTTTTTTTTTTGAGGGGGAATGTCCATTTGTTTATATACAGCAGCTTACGGTATATGCATGCCTTAAAAATGATGTTGCATAATGAAGAACAGTCTCCATTACATATTTGGCTTTGAAACAGTGTTAGTGATGCCTGTTTTATTTTAGTCAATAATGGATATATTTGACCTGATAAAATCATTTCATGAGTAAGCTGGAAAGAAGTTACACACATTCTTTTTCCACCTTGTAGAATCTTTTCAAATGAGGAGCAGGCTTGTTGAGATGTGAATATATGGCAGTAGATGATGTGGGAATAACAGTTTGTTCATTTGTTACATTTATGCTCTGTGTTTCTTCTTAAGGCACCATACATGGCTTGTGTTCCATTTTTTATTGGTAAGAGTCCTGTGAGTAAGATCAGATGGAGAAAATATAATTGGCTTAAGGTCATTCTGAATCTATTTACTTTTTGCACTTCTATGATTTATTGTTAAAAAGTCATCTCATCCATTGCTGTTTCTCTCCATTAATAAAATGGCATGGAGTCTTCTTTCTGCAAGGAGAATTCAACAATCAATTCACCCAAACTATTGCTTGCATTATTATGTCATTGCACCAACCCCTCATCATTACCCAACTTTGTTGACAATTTTCAAACATAAAAAGGTAATAAATGAGATATCATTCCTTTTCTTTTCTGTTCAAATGTGTTGAATTTTTGAGGATTGGAGCTAAACTAAGAATAGCGAAGGGTGAAGAATCATGTTAGAATCCGTATATTAGAATAATTTGAAAGCACAATTGCAATAGTTTGCATTGTAGTTACAAAGGAGTATATATTATTTACACCATGTGTGTGTCTATGTGTGTGTGTGTGTGTGTGTGTGTGTGTGTGTGTGCTTTTTTTGTTAAAATTCATATTTTGTTTTTCACATCTTAACTTAACCTGGGGTAATATTGAAAAAAATGAAGACAAGATGAACCTGCTGGAAACACATTAGTTTTATAATTATTTTGTTATGTTAAAGAACATTTGAGGAGGCATATTTCACTGGTTATGGTACATCTGGTAGCTTTATATGGTGTTGAGTGCTGGCCAACCACAGAATCCTATATACATGCAATGAAGATGTGCATGCTCCATTGGTCATTAGATGTTCCTCTTCATGATCATATCAGCAGTGACAATATGGCAGCAAATGGGCATTGCATCAATATTTTTGAAAAAATGCAGAAGAGAGGCCTACAGTGATATGGCCATGTTTAAAAAATGGCAAGACGACTAAGCAAATCAGTGCCCTTTGCATGTGCAATCAACATGTCACCTTTTTGACAGTTCCCCCCACATCCTCCCATTCAGATTCCCCTAATCACAAATCAGGGTATGTCATTACAAAAAATACAGATCCATCTGTTCACTTCATACAAATTTAATCAATATAAGTTTGCTGTTCTAGAAAGAGGCTGTTTCATTATTTCCAGGGGTGGGATTCAATTTTTTTAACAACCAGTTCTGTGGGCGTGGCTTATTTGGTGGATGTGGCTTGGTGGTCATGTTATTGGCTGGGTATGGCCAACTCAATATCACTCATATCGAGGCATGCATTGCCTCGCCTGGCCTCTCATGATTGTGGGGATGCTGCAACAGTTGTAAATGTGAAAAATGGTCATAAGTCACTTTTTTCAGTGCCATTGTAACTTTGAATGGTCACTCCACACAAGCAAAGTACCAGCAAAGGAGGGGAAAAAACTTCCAGAGACAGGAAGTCTAGTCCTGCCAAGAACCCTTATAAAAATGGTTAATGGAGGGGCAGTTTCTGTAAACAACACCAGAATGTTTCCTTCCTGCCTTCCTTATAGGATTAGGCCAGTAATTTCTTGTAACAACCGGTTCTCTGAACTGCTTAGGATGTTAACAACCGGTTCTGGTGAATAGGTGAGAACTGGTAGAATCCAACCCCTGATTATTTCTATTTTGTGTCACTTGACTTAAAGTTTGTCCAGGCTATTAAAACAATGTTTTCTCTAAGCTGATGGTACTGCTTTCCTTGAGTTTAAGCACATTAAGGGGTGATAACTCGCATATATCACATGATGTTTCTCTGCCTGTAAAAATATAATCCTACTCAGAAGTAGTCACACAACATTTACTCACATGCTTTGTAGTTAGTTACTCACAAGATCTAGTGTTTCAGAGTTTATTATTCTATGCATTGTTCTTATCCAAACTTTTCTTTGCTTGAGTTGATTCACATGTTTGTGATAATTAGCATATTCTAAGGAGTACTGGAAGTAACAGAAAAAATAGATGTAATGAAGTGATGTCACTGAAGGGCTTGTAGTTGAAATCATTTGCCTCTTGGGGTACCAGTTCTGGGAGACATTAAAAAGCTTCATTAATGTTTAACATGCGTATTTCAGTCCTTTTTTCTTGCCACAGTCCTTTTTCCCCCTCACTCATTGATATTTGAACATAGATCTTTTTGAATATTCATATTTTTATTGGATTCTACTAATATAGTTGAAATATTAATTTATATTTCTAGTCAATGTATGTATGATATGCCATATGCTAAATAAATAGTCCTGAAAATAAGGCAAGGTTACATGCTGTTATTGACACTCTTTGCATCTTTGGTTATAGAGGTAGATTTAAATATTACATAAAGTCTGGATGATGCTTGGGTGCTTGGTAGCACTGCTGCCAAGAATTTTATGGACTACAGGAGGCCCTCCCAAACCCCAGTCCGTGGACCAGCACTGGGCTGCGGCATGGCAGAAATTGGGTCACACAAACAAACAAAGCTCTATCTGCAGGATGCAAGCAGCATCAAAATCATGCCCTCTCTGGTCCTCAGAAAAACTTCTCTTCATGGAACAGATCCCTTGTGTCCAAAAGTTGGGGGCTGCTGTACTACAGTAAGATTGAGGGTCTTGTATTTACCATCATTCTATATTCTAGCTGAGTAATATCAGAAATGGAGTTTTGGAGAAGGCAACTCCCGGACATGGGCCTTTGAAACCTACATTGTCTATACAGGAGGAACACTGACACCCTCATTTCACCATGTATGAATTAACTTTTAGCTCTTCTGTGTAGATGCTTTGTCATTTAAATAGTTATTAGAATTTGAATACTATATACAGAAATATGTAGCTCAATGAAAATGCATTTCCTATACCCCAATTCCAACCATTCAACTAAAAGCATTCTTTTATGCATTTACAAGAAAAATCTTTACTTATATCTATCTACCCAACAATATTCTTAAATATCCTTCATCCTTAAAAGAATGAAAATGGAAACTAATATCCACTCATTAGCATCATTCATAGTCCCAAGAAAGGCATCTCCATTTATTCAAGAGACAGAAGACCAAATATAATTCTAAATGCCTATATGTAGTTTCCTTGATGTTGAAGAATTGTAAAAGTATATTCAGTCAATATATTAAAATACTGTATATTGAAATGATTCAACAGTAAGTAATTTCAGGAATGTTGCCATCCCCCCCCCCACCCTTGACTGTTGAAATTTCAGCATTATCCTTAATTTTAGTTTGATTTGAGATAGAGACCAATAACAGTCTCATCTTTTTCAATTTCCTTGTATTAAACTTTTCTAACACTTTTGTTTGTAGATTCATCGGTCTGGTAAAAAAAAATTCTGAACTAATTGTTTTCAGTCAATTAGGTTTTGGTTTTCATATTGATCCAGGATTGCTTTTATTTTTAGCAGCTGTAAGACTGAAAAAAATAATAATGGAACAAGCAAGGTGCAATAGGGAGTGTCTTGAAAGTCAAGCATAGTTTCTCATGGTATATCCTGTATGTTTTTTTGGTCACACTGTTATTTCAAGACTTTTTGAAGACTTCTTAAACTACACAATTTCATCAAAACTACATATTAGGTTTATTTATTTATTTAACCTATGGCATCTACAGAGGTCATGCAATCACTGATATGCAAATTTAGTTTAAATAAAGCATCAGCAAATACACACACACACACACACACACACACACACACACACACATATTCTGGAAATAAAGCTAGGTGCGTCTTATGGTCTGGAGTAGCTTATAGCACAAAAAATATGGTATTTGGGGCGAGTGCTCTGTATTCACTGGTTTGAATGACATGCTAAACTGTAGTTAATGATATGAACCAAGATGCTGTTCACTGTTCTTTGTTCACACCAATCAACTATGAGATCTTCAAGTATTTTGCTTATTTATTTTATATAATTTGTAATTTGTATGAATTACAATTTATTAACTGTTATTAGTCATAATTATGACTAAAGCAACAAACCTTAAAATATGGCTAAGATTAACCCATTATAGGTTTTGAGTTTAATACTATAGTGCTGTTATTCTAAGTACAAAATCAGAAAAGCTGCTAATCCCTTTGCAAGGTTGCCAGGAAATTGAGTGAAGAGACCACAACAATTTAAGATTCACTGTGTCTTATTCCTATCATGCTAAATGGTGGTATCTTATAATTTCTGAAAAGCACCAACATCTTTTAGGCACTTATTGAATTTTATAAAGAGAGGTAAAGTTCATGCCAAAGGATTTTGGTAACTATATCAAATTTTTTAAAATCACCCCAATTTTTCCTGGAAGACTGAAGACTGAAGACTCTCTTTGCGTGTGTGTGTGTGTGTGTTTGTATAATGTCTAGAAAATGTATTACATTTTCCATTGATGCATCCTTTCCTTTTTCTTTTGAAGCAGGCACCCAACATCAGGACAAAACTAAGGCGGCTTTATGGTTTTGAAGTACAAATGGAACTTGTAAAGAATCAACATTAAGAGTTCCTATCCTTGAGAAAGGGATATGGTACACCTTTTCCATCTGTCTCTCTCCTCTCTGCATCTTCACAGCACCACTAGACATTTTGCTAAGCAGATGCTGAGCCTACTGTATCATATGACTGATCCTTTATACCCAGCTGCCTATTTGTCAATCTCAGGATTGTTAAGTAGAAATGAGATGAAAAGACAACAGCTATTCATCATCCATCATTTGTCACCTGAATCTGCAACAGCATTTCTGATATCCATCTTTTTATGCCGCTAAATAAGCATTTGGTGTGGTTGTATTGGCATCTAATATTAATGCACAATCAGGTGAGGACATAACTGAAACTAATTGTTAAATTTTGGGAATGCATTTTGGTAGCTATTTGTGAATCCTTTTTGAGGAAATACAGAAAGTTTACATAAATATTTACAGGATATTTTAGAACAGATTGTTTTTTTAAAGTTAAATAATGTTAAAGTTCTGTTTAAAGAACTTGTCTGCAGAGGTGCACTGTCAGATGTTTTAAATGCCTACTTTTAGTTGTTTGTGGAACTTTATTGTTATTTGCTCAAATATCTTGTAATTGTTCACTGTTCGCTATATAGATTGTCCTACATAGATAACAAATTCTTGAATGTGTTTTACCTTCTTATGAACAATCACTTACATATAAAATAGTTTTAATAGCTGCAGCATCAAAAACATGAGCGTAAGCTTTACTGCTTTTAATGAAAACTTTGAGATATGGACAATTTGTTTCAAAATGTAATCGGATACAGAGCTTTTGACTGAAAATCTAACTGCAAAGGAAGCTTTGGTCTTAAGTTTACACTGACATTAATGCCATTCTTACTGTTGAGCACAAAATACCTAATATTAGCCTAATTTCTTTCAGCTTCAATCTTAATTAAAATACCTGATTGGGTGCTTTAGAAGCCACTTTATATTGCACTTGTACGTGTCTCTTTTTCCCCCTCATTGCAAACTATTTGGAAGTTTCCTACTTATACCAGCCTTGAAATCCATGATTAGGAAGTACTTTAAGCAATCTATGTAGCATATACAGTAGACTGGAAAGTATGAGGTGATGCTACAAAGAGATTTGGTACAAGTACAGTTTTGAAATTTTAAACAAAACTCATCTAGAGAAAGTCTGGCTTTGCTGTTGCTAATAGCTGACACTGACTTGATTAGACATGAGTTATGAATGTAGTAGAGCCTGCCAATTACATTTGTAAACCAAATGTTAACTGAATTATGTTAAATTAAATGGATTTGTTAATTGAGATCATTAAGTGCACATGATGTATCTCATGAGGGGAAGACAATGGGTGACCTAGTGCTGGACCACTCAAGGCCTCCTTCAACCCACTGAGATATCTCATGCTTTCCCCCCACCCTGCCCCACCGGGTGTCCACATATGCTGGGCCTGTTTCCTTCCAGATTCCAATTGTTCCCCCCTACCCATGCCTGATTGCTCACTGACTTTTCAAAGATCACCAGAGTTCCAGACCAACAGCCATCTTTAGTCAGATACTGGTGAAGCTGTAAGAATGTGAGAACTAAAGAAAACAGTTTTGTCAGCCCTGTGAGCCCAATGAAACAAATAAGCACTGTATTGGCTGCCACTGCTGCCTTTATGCCCCAATTCCTGAAGCCACTCATTCAAACCAGCCATCCAGCAGCAAGCAGGCCAGGACCAAACAAAGTCTGCATGGCAGTAAAGCAGTGGGGGCATTGGCCTCATGGTGTAAAGCCATGGGGCAGGATGGGGAGTTAAATAGTCAGTGGGCATGTTGCGGTGTCTCTGTGGTCAGTCATAAGGATGAATGACCAATGAAACATACGTTACTTGATAACCAGGTTGTAAGTACTTTTTTGGGGGGGTGTCATAATTTTGAACCATAACTAAGTAAAATTGTAATACCTCGAGGAATACCTGTATTTAATAACCCAATCAACATTCTGTTGAACCAACTGTTTTAGTTGAATATGAAACAGACATTAATTAATAATTTTAGTAAAATCAGAGAGAATAACAATAATAAATATGGTAAACTTATCATCAAAATATTAAACACCAGTATTTAGTGAAATTATTAAAATTGTGGTTTGATTTGTCCAAAGTTATATTTTAACTAATTAGGGATATTTCTAATGGAAATCATAGAATGGGTTTTGTTTCAACAGGTAACCACAATGGAAAATGGCTTTTGTGATCTGGATTTGGTTTCTATTTGTGCAAACTTTATATATTTACAAAAAGCTCATTACTATTAAGTACTGGAATAAAGCTGTTCTTTTTTCATAAGCATTTTCCCTTTGCAGTCTATTGAATGTCTTTTCTACCTCTCTTCAGAACTGTTTTTTTATCCTGAATATAATGTATTGATTTCTAGTTCATCCAAAGATTTCAAATGTTCTAAAATTGCATGTTCTCTTTCCTTCAGTGTAAAGCTTTGATCTACTGAAGTTGTTTAAAGTTTCCCATGCTCAGAGCCATATGTACCTTTAAAAAAAAGGCAGGAAATGTGTCAATGTCTGGAAAGGGTAAGGAAGGAGAAAGAACTATGTAAGAGTAGAAAGAAGCAAAAAGCCAGGAAGAGCTAAAGGTGTACAAACCAAGTGGAGGTGTGCAAATATAGGTGTAGAAAACTACAGAGATTGTCTTGTCTGTAAGACCCTGAATCACAGCAGTATCATAACCATCAATTTATAATAAATAGAAGTGAACACAATTATTCAAAAGTGATTTCTATTGCTTAATTCCAAAATCATTGGTTCAGGAGTCACGATTCTATTAAATAAAATTCTGATGATGCAACTTTTTTGTGTGAAATAGCAGCTTCCCAAAACCTGTGCTAAATTATTCATTTTTTTAAAATGTAGTGAAGATTCATAAATATACTCTATCTATAGGCTTCACTTCACTCTTATTGGGAACATTTTTTCAAATGAAGTACTCTTCGTTTAAATAGATATTTCAAATACTATAGGGCATTGCCAATCATCTCTTCTTTCTGGCTGGTGAAGCTCATGGTTCATTCACAATTCACCTTTGCCAGATAATCTAATGAAATTCTTGAATTTTATTCTATAAGTTGAATAATTAATAAATAAACCATGCAACAGAGCATTTGCTGGGTTGCTATATATTTCTATCATAGTAGTAGCTTGCAGTTCCAGCATATAACAAATGTGCTTGCATGATCAATTAGCTTAGCATTCATTCATAAACCTCAATATTATTGCAGCAAAATATTAATTCTCACTAATAATGAATTCTGGTTAGTTTAATATTGCTTAAATAAAGCATTTATTGCATTCTGTTCAATCTAAGAATGGAAACTTACCAAAACACCAGAACTTCTCATTTCTTCCTTCCTTTTGAGATAGCCTTTTGCATTTTAGATTTCATTATTATTGATTCACAACAATCATGTAGAAATGAATGACAGATAAAATTACAGCTTTACTATTCAAGAAAGTGCAAGAGGCTGGTTTGAATTATATTCTCAATACTTTAAGAGTAAATCAAATGCCCTTTCCAATAACTCTAGTGGGGTCCCTTGGCAAAAAGAGTTGAAAATAATGATACTATAGACTGTTTTCACAATCTAGAAACATTTTTCTTTAAAAAAACCCAATTAATGATTGTATGTTTCACAAACATGGCATTACCATTGCAGATTGTATGCACATACCTTTTGATAAATGAGTGCAAATTTTATTTTTACACAGATTGGTGTGAGTTTATGCCTGTAAAGTTCTGCTTTTCTGTTTCTGTGTTGGAAAGTTAATTTTCTGGGCTATAGACAACTATTAAATAGCATGCAAATAAACAGCAGCAGATTTTCACAAGGAATCCTCATCCCATCATATTTATTTCTCATTTTTATGCCATTAAAAATAGACCACAGTGATGAACCTGAATAGATAACACCAAAAGGAATATATGAGATAATCTTGCAGACTTTTTATGTTTAGAAATACTTCATTGTGTAATATTGTTTTGTGTCTCTTTTGAAATAACAAAAACAAGTTACTAGATCATCCTATATTGCGTAAATAAATAAAAAAGATAGTAGCATAGAACCAACCCTCTTATTGTCATGGGCTTATCAGTTATCAGGATTTGATGAAACAAACAGGAACATTAAATAGCTCTCATAATTCAACATATCTATTTCTTCAATGTATAAGACTTTCCATCTGCCCAATGCGCACTCTGGACAATTTACAGCATTAAAAAACAAGCAACAGCAAAACTAAATATAACCAAGATAAAAAAAACCAATTAATTTACAATTAAACTATCCTATCATGGAAAACCCACCCCCTGTGTACCTGAACACAAACATGGTCCAGGGTCTTGCAAGAATTGCGTGACTCCAGTTTGAAAAGAGAGATAATGGCCACAATAAAGATGGTTGAAAGTTGTCACTGGAGAACATACAAATTTGTCTTATAGTATTTTGGAGATGCTTTGTAACTCAATGGTTTGGCAACTTTCTTTGGCACAATCCATACTTTAAATAAAAATATAATAATTTGTGAAATAAACACATGAGCAAATATGCCATTAGCCTTGACATTGTGAATGTTTCTAATAAATGCAAAATCCAATATCTCTCATGACAGAAACATATGTTTTAGAATGTCTTAGTTACACCTGTGATTATATGTAAGATACAAATTCAGCCATTGCCAAGTTTACTTCATTAACGCTACCATATTTGAATGGTGAAGGGCACTTTTGGAGGCCTGGAGGCCTTTGCTAAGGTTTGCAGGTCACTTACATTAATAATTAATAAAATTATGTGCTTACAAATATAGGTTAGTGTATATTTACAGTGTCTTGAAATAAATATGTAATATAAATTATTGTGATTTTAGAATATTCTGAAATGTATCTCAATTCTTGCATTGTATAGTGCATCACTGGACCAACAGGAGTGTTCTATATAATGCATAATACTATAATGCATTATTTATTTATTTATTTATTTATTTATTTATTTATTTATTTATTTATTTTATTTTATTTTATTTTATTTATTTTATTTGGTTTGTCAATTACTTACAAGATAATAGGTATAAATGAAAACATAGTTATATGGATACATATAAGAAAAATAAAAGAAACAATAGGACAGGGATGGTAGGCACGTTGGTGCGCTTATGCACGCCCCCTACAGACCTCTTAGGAAAGGGGTGAAATGAGTCTAAGGTTAAAGTTTTTGGGGTTTGGGGAAGAAACCACAGAGTCAGGTAGAGTATTCCAGACATTGACCACTCTGTTGCTGAAGTTGTATTTCCTGCAATCAAGTTTGGTGCAATTAACCTAAAGTTTGTATCTATTGTTTGCTCTTGTATTGTTATGGTTGAAGCTGAAGTATTCATTGACAGGTAGGACATTGCAATGTATGATTTTATATACTATACTTAGATCGGACCGAAGGCAGCGTAGTTCTAGGTTTTCTAGGTCTAGAATTTCAAGTCTGGTGGCATAAGGTATTCTGCAATGAGTAGAGGAGTGGAGAACTCTTCTTGTGAAATATTTCTGGACTTTCTCAACTGTGTTAATATCAGATACATAATGTGGATTCCAGTCTGATGAGCTGTATTCGAGTATTGGTCTAGCAAATGTTTTGTATGCTCTAGTTAGTAGTATTACCAGAGAAAAAGTTATGTAAGATTAGGTTAACAACTCTTAACACCTTTTTGGCTATGTAGTTACAGTGGGCTCTAGCACTTAGATCATTAGAGATAAGTACTCCAAGATCCTTGACAGAGTTTGGATCATCAACAATGTTGCGACCAGCAAGTCCTCACTCCGTTCCACTGTTTAAGCAGGAGCTGGAGAAGTCCCTGATTGGCTGGACCATTTGACAGCTCTGTATAAAAGGAGCTGTCAAATGGAATCAGCTGTCTCTCTCTCTCAGCTGCTGCCACGACCTGTGGCTAGCCGCAGCTGGGTTAGCAATGTTAGCAATAAAGCCTGTTAAAGCTTTATATTGCCTCCGCCTCTTCTTCTAAGCACGCCAAACACAAAACTGGCAACAAAGATGGGATGCTGATGAACTGAGGCAATTCCTGATGCAAAAGAGAGAACACCACATGGCTGAAGTCACTTCAAAAAGAGCTGTCACTAAGAGCTGTCACTAGAACAGTCACTATCAAACGAAGATATGTTGGCGCCACCAAATTTTCCACCTTTTTGGCCAACCTCTGAGACGTGGACATCGTACATCAATAGGTTTGAGTGCGTCATGAATGCCACGAACCTATCTGACATCCCTCCTAACAGGAAGAAAGCCTATTTCCTGAGTTTCTGCGTGGCCGCCGTTTTCGACACTGCCACTGCGCTGCTGGCTCCTTGTATGGTCAAGGCTGTTCCCTGGGAAGAACCACAAGAGGTACTCGGTAACCACTATGCCCCAAAGCCATTGTGTATGTCCCGACACCATGTATTCAGAAGAAGAAGCCAAGCAGAAGGCGAGTCCATAAGTGAATACATGGCGGCTCTTTGTTCAGCCGCCCTGCATTGCAGTTTCCGAGATCATCTAGATGATGTGCTGCTGGACCATCTCGTCTGTGCGATGAGAGACCTTCGACTTCAACAACAGCTGCTGGCTAAAGGTGACCTCACCTTGAAGCAAGCCATCGAAGAAGCTCAAGCCGCTGAACTATCCAACTTATCTGCAGCCAAAATACAAAAACCAAGCAGTCTTCCCGGGGTAAAACCCAGCACTGCTGTCCACTACGAAGACACCTACAGTGAAGATGATGATTTTGAAGAGGAAGAAGCAATCAATCGCCTCCGAGCACCTCAGCTGATGCAGAGAAAAAGTTTTCTTGCCGACAGGAAACAACTTACATCACAGCTGATTTGCCTCAGCTGTGGAGGAAGCCATCTGAGAGCCACTTGCCATTCCGAAACACTGTCTGCCTAAAGTGCCAGAAGAAAGGCCACATAGCTAGAATCTGCCAGGCACCTAGAAATGCAATCCTGCCATCTCAACTTCTCAATCAACCAAAAAACCTCAAATCCAAAGAGGAATGCTATGCCATCAACAAAGCATTCCCAAGAGCTGAGTCACTAACTTATTCTTTCAATGTTAATAAAATTAATGTTGATCTTCTCCTAGAAGGCATCCCCTGTCAGATGGAGATAGACACTGGATCATCTCTATCCCTCATCTCGTGGAAGATGCTACAGAATCTGCTACCAGACTTCCACAAGAATCAGCTGAGCCCCTGCAATCTGACCCTGAGAGACTACTAAGGACAATCCATTCCAGTCCTCGGTACAGGCAAGTTCCATGTTCAATACAACAATTTTCAGGGTCACCTTCTGAAACCAAATTGTTTATTCAAGAGTAGGTTGTTTGTCTCTAAGTGGAGGATAATGGATTGGTTAATAATTGATTCCATGACTTTACAGGTGATGCAGAATAAAGAGATTGGTCTGTAATTTTCAATTAGGCTGGGCTCTGCCTTTTTGAAGATGGGGATGACTGTGGCTTGTGACCATAGTTTTGGCAAGGAACTGGTCATGAACAACAACAAGTCTTCAGAGCAAGTTACAGAAGCTGCAGAATTGAGAAAAAATTGCCATAGTTCATGTTCCCTCTGTAGTGGGAATACCTGTCATTATATCTGTTTCACAATATATTTATTATCCAACTCTTCACTGATATAATTTTGCCTGGTTGCTTCATTACTTGCAACAGCAATAAATATCTTTGT